TAATATCAAATAAAATAGACTCAGAACAAGAAATATCAGGGATAAAGAGGAACATAAAAAAAGGAACATAAATTCATCAAGGTATGATGTAATAATCCTAAATGTGTATGCACCTAAAATAGAGCTTCAAAATATGTGAAACTAAAACTAGTGGAACTGAAGAGAAATAACCTACAACTACAGTTGGAGACCTCAACACTCCTCTTTCAGTAACAGAACAAGTAGACCCCAAAATCAGTAAAGTTATAGGATACATAAACAAACCTATTACTCAATTTGACCTAACTGGCATTTATAGAACATTCCACCCAGCAACACTTTTAAATGCATTCAAGTGCATCTGAAATACTTATCAAGACAGTCTAATTTCTGGACCCTAACACAAACTTTAACAAATCTAAAAGAACTGAAATCATACAGAATATATTACCTGGCTGTAATGAAAGTAAACTAGAAATCAATAATAGAAAGATTGGAAAATCTTCAAATATTTGGAAATTTAAGCAATACACATCAAAATAATTCATAGGTCAAAGAAAAAAATCACAATAAAAATAGTAACCTACAGAGGAAAAGGAAGGACAGAGTAGAGGGAACAGGGATGGAGGATATAGCCCTGCATGTATCTTGTTTGATACCATTGACTTTGGAACCACATGTTTCATATTTAACAAATAAAATTAAATCATAAAGGAAAAAATTCCAAAATACTAAAAAAAAATTAATTTTAGTTATCATCAAGTCCATGGCATAATCACACAGAGAAAATATTCAAGTGACTTTAAAAGTGTTTTGACTTTGACTGTACATCTAGTAGTTTTATGGTTTGTAGTAATAATATTCTTATTTTGAAAGTATTATTTTGATTTTGTAAGATAGAGCAAGATAAAGGTAATTTTGTTGATGCAATTAGAAACCAAGATTATTAGGATAAAGGAAAGAAATGTATACATAAAACACTGACCTTAAATTTCATTTGGAAATAACAGTACGAAGCCAGGACTTCTTTCTCCTTCAGTATGTATTTCTAATCTCTGTGTACTGAAAAGGCCTAGAAGCAATGATATTAGTAGGTGGCACCCAGACTGTGGTCTCTAAAAACTATTTCTCACTAAAAGAAACTGAGACTTCTTAGAAAAATGGTTGAATTCAGGCCAAAGACAGGAAGGATGTGCACAAGATGAGCCCAGGATTTCTTTTTGGGACAAAAAAAGGAGACTGTCAAAAACCATAGGACTGTGCCGAAAGCACACAGGAATCAACTCATTAAATATGGAAGCACTGAAAGGAATAATGATTACAACTGATCAAAACACATAAAGCCCTGGCCAGTGTGGCTCAGTGGTTAAAGCATCAGCACAAGCACCAAAGGGTCACTGGTTCAATTCCTGGTCAAGGACATGGACCTGGGTTGTGGGTTCGCTCCCCATCCCTGGTTGGGTAGCGTGTGGGAGGCAACCAGTTAATGTGTCTC